GTCGCATTATCCAATCGACTGCAATCACGAAGATCATTGGCGATAGTAGACAGCCTTGCCTCACTCCCGTCTTCAGTTTGACGGAGTCCCTAAGTTTCCCGTTGTGGATTACTTGGAACCTCAAACAAACTGCAGACCTTCATTAACAAATGTCTTCGCTCAATACTCAAGATCAGATGGCCAGCCAGAAGAGATCAGCAACAGGGATCTCTGGCAATGAGCGAACCAACCAGGAACCGATTGTGCAACAAATGGAGATGGATTGGCCATACTCTGAGGAAACCGTCTAGGGATATCACTAGACAAGCCCTCGAGTGGAACCCGAAAGGAAAGTGGCGAGTTGGTCGTCCAAGAGTGACTTGGAAGAGGTTGTGTGAAGAGAAGATGAAGGCATATGGGTAGACTTGGAGCGGGATGGAAACGTTGGCAGAGAACTGAACGCAATGGAGACGCGCGGCTGAAGCCCTAAGCCACTCTAGGAATTAAAGGATATAATAATAATAATTAGTGGCAGAGAAGGAACGTATTCTGATTGCTCGTTTTATCACTGGAATTTATTCTGTCATCTCTTTGTGGCCGTTTCTTTGAAGGTCAAACCATATATCAGCTAATCGTATCCACCCACGCATGGTCTGCCGTGATTGGTCGTTGACTTAGTCATTGTTCTTTTCTCATGACCAAGATTTGGGGCGTAAACATTGACGTTAATTGCTGTCTATCGATTTCGGCTAGCAGACAGCTCTCACCACAATATGTCGTTCATTCAATATTAACTAATATTGACAGTGCTTGTTTTAACAAAATAGGGTTGCTAGCATTGTGCATTATGCTAGCTTAATACTGACCAGATGAGGCTTAGGAGTTTGTCGGTAGAGAATGCAACCCCCACCATGTAAGCGGTTGACGAGGATTCTCCCAAACACGCACAACACAGTTTATTTTTACATTATATGATGGAGAATTCAAGAGAAGAGAGTGTGAGTGAAAAGGAGCAGGAAGTAAAGAGAAAGTTTTCACGCAAATAAAAACAATCAAGTAAACTGGTGGATTAATGATGACCTTAGCTCATCTAGTGGAAATGAGAATAGGGTGAAGATTGTGACACAAAAGAAAGCAGAAAAGTAAAAGATTCAGTTTCCGAGGCTGTGAGAAGTTAATCACATCATCCTTCTGTATAAATGGCTTAAATTGTTAATGATGGATACCTGCGGCTTCTGCAAAACAAAGTAATCAAGGTTTTCGTTATGTTTACGTTGTTCTTAGACTGTTAACACTTGAAGAATAAGTGTGAATTGAAAATGAGCTCTTCTTGTCCTACACATAAATTCTACAAGATATCATCGTGGGCTAACATAAGTTAGAGAACCACTGGAAAACCATCAAGGAGTGAGTACTGGACAGCTGTTTTATCCTAGTTTGGGACTCTTTGTCAGTTTGCACTCACCACAGGGGCTAGAAGCCGGGAACTTCCAGTTACAAGGCTAGCTCGTAGACCATTAAGTCACTAGGACCTTGTCCAATGGTTGGAAGGTCCTAAGTTTGGACCCTAGCAGTGGATGCGTACTGATGAAGAGTCCCAATATAGGACGAAACAGCTCTTCAGTACTTCCCGGTGATTTTGCAATGTCTCTATAATCGATTTCAGCTCATAATGAAAGCTTGTTACCAATCAAATCCTTGCAAACTAACCGTTGAAAATAGAATTTAGTATGATGGTAGCATCTCACGAGTGTAAGATACTCAGTCAACCGTTACTCATAAACTCTCTCCATAGTTAGACGATGTTGCTACACAGTTGTATAGCTGATATTTTGACTGGAGGAAGATTTTGTCGTCAGTTTCAACGTCATCAACAACGAAATAATGAGATATCTTTGTCATTTTTATTAATTGAGGGAAAATTATTCAGTTGTTGTGAAAATCCCATTGATAAACTAGAACAAAGCAAGAACAACAATTGTACCAGGATAATGTGAACTCATCTTTTATTTATTTCGAGGATTCTTCTCAACTGGTTACAACCTGAACGATAAAAGAAGTATGAATTACATTAAAGATTTGAAGATACTTTTCCACGATCATAAGGAGTAATTGGTGGTAGGAAGTAAAAGTAACATTAGTCCGGAATGATTTAAATAATTAAGAGTTACAAACACTGACTATTTATAGAATAATTAGACAATTAGACTTGGAAACAAAAAACAGAATTACCTATATATATATGTGTGTGTATAGAAACAAGGTTTAGCTAGAAAGAGCATAAGAAAAAGGTAGATTATGTAACTAAAGAAAATGTTTTATCTAAGATTTAAAACAATTAGTCCCTTTTATAAATTTGGATAGCGTTATGAGAAGACGGAAATTATCTGAAAAATGTGATGCATTTGCGCCATACATTTCGAACAACAATCTGATCCCTCACACATTTACTTGTCAAGTCAATATATATATATGAAAAAGTTAAATTAAACAAAGTGACAATAAAACGATTTAAGAATGATTAACACAACGTTTGGTAATCCAATCAAATAATGATTACCAAGGTAGGTTAAGAGTAATAATAAACTGTTTTTGAATACACAGAGGGGCGGGGAGGGGTTCTTAAGTTTATGAATAGCTATACCCTCAGTGTATTTCAATACACTTGATGGTATAAACCTTCGAACTGGGTTTCGACATCAATTTTGTTGGTAAATTTCGTCGAGATGTGGAATCTGAATCCTAGTGAAAGTGCTTCTGTTTCTACCTGACTCAGTTTACAACTTGACAAGTTGAATACGAATTCATCAGGATTCTCCGAAATTCCTTCACACAGTGTTACTTCAACCAGGGTCTTAGATAAAGTTTTCTCAAATTTTACGCTTGTTTTATTCTAAACCTTTCGAATAAAATTGGTGAATTTGATTCTACAGACTAGGTTCATTTCATTTCATCACCACAAAATCTCCGACGCGAATTGAACACCTCTAAGTAAATATCCACGACTATTTCCTGTGAAAATCCCAGATACTCATATAGCGATATTTGATACTGTTCTTAGCGTAACTGGCATGCAAGCGAAACGGTACATTATATATCAGGGATTTTCATGAATGGTTTACCAATGGTGATGTCAACCCCGTAGTGATTGCTTGGCAGACTAAGGCGACTTAAACACTAGACAGCTGTTACTTCAGTTTGGAGTACAACTCATAATCGCTGTAGTCAGAATGACTTAGATGAGTTCAAACCAGCTGAATTTTACTTAGCTGCTTAGGATATTTGTAAGCGGAGAACTTAAATAGGACATATATAATTAATTCGACTACATTATTTGCTTTATTTCAATTTTGATTTCCGCGTTAATTGATTGGACCGAAATGTTCAACCTCAAACAACATATCAGCTGTTAATATAGGACGCTTCAACAATTTCTGCTGATTGACTTGAGGTAACTAGGTGAATGGTGACTAGCAGTGGAATCCAGGATCTGTACATTGCGACCCATCAATCTGGACATCGTCAAAACGTCCTTAGTACTAGCAGACACGTCAACCGAAACCGAATATTCTGGTCCAATCAGTCAGTGGGAAAATCGAAACTGAGTATAAAACAAATAATAACTAACACCCGTTGTACAAGAGGTGGCTGTCATGACCAAAGTGGTCCAGTGGATAACGCTTTGACGTTTTAAACCATCAGTGCTGGATTCGAGCCTCACTGGGAACACCATCACTGACTCACTCAATTGACGAGTCCCAAATCAAACGGAATGCTCTTCTGGGACTCTACTGATAGTCTCCATATACATCAAAATTAATTGCATGCTCTAATAGTGAAAATAGGCATAAGTAAACTAACGATTACAGAACTGTCTTAACGTGAAGGTTTCATATCTAAAGGTATATCCTGTCTACCAAAATGTTTTATTATCATATATTGGTTAAAGCCTTCTGGGAGCTAGAATATTGTCTGCAAACTACAGATAAGTTAGCCGAGTGTACACGTTTGATATGAAATAATTTATTTATCGAATCCACATGTAACTGATCCGATTTATTTGTTGTATAAAGTTGTATGATAAGGATAGATTCCTTCACTCTAATCAACATATGTTATATTTTTATTAGACATTAGTAACTAGTTTGATGTCTCTAGTCCCATCTTTGGTGTAGACTGAATTCTGTCCGTTAACTTTGCGACAAAGGACCAAACACATCACACTATTTACTGAATAGTGTCCAATCAGGTATCCAATACCACCCTAAAGGAGGTCAGTGGTGAGCCCGAATAACTCCTCAGTGGAAACGTCTCAGAAAGGCGACATGAGTACCTTCAAGTTTGCAGACACGCCTTGTCGACTGGTGAGAGCACGAAACCCAGGTCAGATGAGGCTTCCTGTGGCCGATTGCCTCCAACCATCTAATATCATAAATTACATTGTTGACAGTATAATTCTAAATTGGTTTGTTATTTTGGTATTTGAATTATGTCAAGTGATATGGAAAGCTCAGGAAAATCCAAGTTAATTCGTTTTGGTTGATGGTGAGCATTGGCGGAATCCAGGATGCACACTTCGTCTTCTTTTGGACTGGCCAGCTGAATTAGTCTACATCCCCAGAATGTGACGCTCCCAAGTGATGTCTAAATATATCCAGATAACATTCAGAAATTGTCATATTTTCCTTCTGTTTTCAGAAATGAATCACCGCTGGAGTAAGTCGTCGTTTCTTTCTTTCATTAAATCATAATTCAAACTGTTAATTTCTTTTCTGAACACTGATGTTACTCCGTATGATGATAACAACCTGTGCTCTAAAATTGTTACGGAATATTGGATCACTTCTTCATTCCTTTTATTCCTTTAAGATTCCAAGTGGAACATAGGACTTTAAGATTGAGCTTTCAAGTTCTGTAGACACTGGTGTGATTTTCAGTTAGTTGTGTTTTCTAAGGTGGTTGGTTAAATTGAGGAGCTTTCGTTGTCCCCCTACTGGACAACATCTGCCTTCAGCGCAAGTTTTAGCATAAAATGAATTGATTTAAATTCTCTATGAATGATAGAATTGAGCCTCCTGACAGCAAACATCTTCGTGACCGGTAGTTGATTTACATCTGTAGTGATCATTTTTTTTATTGACTTGGATTTTGAACTTTCTCGTCACATGATGATTTTTTTCTTTTTATTAGTCGGTAGATTTGGTCTGCATTAACATGTTTACTAATCGCATATTCGTCTGAGTGCCAGGCTTCTAGGAATAATGTGGCACTTTTGGTGTTTCCTCTGCTTAGAATTTCTACATTATCCCAATCAAACTGATGTCCATAATTATCTACATGCACTGATATGAAAGAATGTATATATATGTAAATATATATCATGTCTTTTCACAGCTAATTTGTGTTCTTGGATTAAGATTCGAAGAGGACACCCACTTTGACTGATGTAATGTCTGTTACAGTTCATACAACTTATTTCGTAAATGGTATTAATTTTATCTCCTTTTTCTATTGGATGAGCCTTTCGGTTTGCACAATATCAAATTAAGTGATTTGACTGGCTGGCTTCTGTGCTATATCTATTTCAAATGGTTTCGGTATTCTAGCTGTTATTTCAGAGATATTTTTATATATAGTAGAATGAATTTTCTTGTAGTCTTTAATGATGGTTTCTTGTCGGTGTTGTGACTCGAATATATGATGAAATTGTGAGGATATCCATTCTTTTTGAAGACACCAAAAGTGCCAGAGTGCCTGCTGAAGGTTATTCTGTTATCTCTCTGTGGCTATTTCTTTGAAGGTCAGACCATATATGTGCGAATCGTATCCACCCACGCAAAGTCTGCTGTGATTGGCTGTTGAGTTAGTCATTGTTTTTGTTTCTTTCTCATGACCAAGATTTGGGATGTAAACATTCACGTAAATTGGTGTCTACTTATTTTGGCCATCAGACAGCTTTTACCACAGTAAATAGACTTAAACCTACTACAAAGATGTCCTTCAAACGAAGTGGAGGGAAAGATGATTGCAGGTTATTAGAGAGTGACTTGAATAGAACATTATATTACTTCAAATGATTTTAAAAAAAGAAGCATTACTTTGCAACAGAACACACTCAGCATTCTGTACTAAGTAAGAGCACATTTAACGAAATAAAAGTGTTATTATCGTTATTATTATTATTGTTTTTGCATAAAACATATATTTCGATTAATTTTTAGGCTGGGAAATGATGAAGTCCTGCTGCAAATGAGAGATAATGCAAAGCCGCCACTTAGACGGTACAATAAATTATTTGATTTTATTAAAATTCTTTCCATATTAAAATTTTATGAAGTTTTATAAGCCTTGTCACATTGAATATCGGTGGCACCTTATTGAATCTTAGTTCATTTGAGTTAAGTGGATCAATTGTGTGTGTCTGTGTGTGGCTATGAGTTAAAGTTGAGTATTTAAGACCGAATACACTTGAAAAACTGATCAAACGTTTTGTGTGGTGATAAGGCTAGTTGACAAGTCAATCTTCATTTAGTTGGTTGATGTGTGAATCTTATGAATATACTTACCGAAGATGGATTTTCACTGGTCTTTCATGATGACTTGAATTTGAATGAAAGGCGATAATCTGGGAGACATAATAATAGGGAAGATATTTACCTTTTACTGACTGGCTGATGGGCACCAGTCCTCCAACGAAAGCAGAAGTTCTGAATGCGATCAAGCTACTGAAGGCTGGGAAGGTAGCAGTACCAAATGGAATTCTCCTCGAAGTACTGAAAACGAATCCAGAGACTGAAGCAGATGTGCTCATGCCATTATTACAGAAGGTTTGGAAGGAAGGAAAGGTACACACCAATTGGAAGAAAGGCTGGCTACTTCGTCAAGCTACTATAGAAGGGCTACCTGGGCCTCTGCAACAACTGGCGTAGAATAATTCTGTTTTCCACGCCTAGTAAATTACTAAGTCGCATCATCCTGGAGAGAATTAAAGATGCACTGGATACAGAACTCCTCCCGGAACAAGCACGGATAAAGCTCTATGTTCCTGTAGGAATTAAAGGAAACAATAATAATAATAATCAAATTGCTAGTCTACGCATCGTCATCGAACAAGGCATAGAATAGCAGCCAAACATCTTTCTGCCTCAACTCCGTCGACTTTGAGAAGGTCTTCGACAGACGGCGTTGAGCGAGAAGTAATTTGGAAACTGAAACTAACTCAACACTACTGCGTACAGTGCTCAAGTCTTTATAAACTTCATTCAACAGCTGGCTAGGCGACAATGGTACATGTCAGGTGATCCACAACGGGATACTCAGCTAGGCGTTCGAAGTGCATACGGGAGTAGAACAAGGCTGACTGTCTACTATCACAACGATGATATTCTTAATTGTGGTAGACTGGATTATGCTTCAGACTGTTGGGAGCGAGGAGACAGAAATACGCTGGACCAACGATGAGAAGATGGTAGAAGATCTGGATTTCGCAGATAATATTTGTCTAATGTCACACAAACTCGAAGACTTGCAAGTGAAAACCAAGATTCTGGCTGAAGAGGCGGGCAGCGAAAACGGGAAGGCAGGTGAACACAGAGAAGACGGAGGTGATGAAGACAACCAACCAAAATCAACAACAACAACAACCAGTAACACTAACCATCAACGGGAGAGATTTAACAGAGGTTACTTCCTTCACTTATCTAGGAATAATCGTTTCAACTACTGGCGGAACGGATGGAGACGTCAAAGTCAGAATCAGAAAGGCACGATACGCCTTCATCGACCTGACACCTGTTTGGAAATCTTCCGAACCCAACATAGGGGATAAGATTCGCATTTTCAACACCAAAGCTGCAGACTTTTATCAACAGTTGCCTTCCCTAGTTCCTTACTGGAAATAAAATGGCGAGAAAGATTAAATAACTAGATACTATGGGAACAAACCAACAAGCAAGAGCCGATGACTCAACAAATATGTAGAATAAAATGGAGATGGATTGGGCACAGGCTACTGAGGAGACTGTGGAGTGACATCGCGCGCCAGGACATTGCTCGAGTGGAATCCCAATGGGAAGCGACCAGTGGATCATCAGTGTTAGAGTGACATGGAGGAGATCGTCTGACAAGGGGATGAGAGATTGTTGGCAACCGTGGTCCAAAGTAAAGAGGATATTAGAAAACAGAACAAAGTGGAGATGTGTTATTGAAGCCTAATGTTCTACTCAGAACTCAAGGGAATAATATTAATGCTAAATGACTGAGTGAATTTCACCAAAGACCTTTGCAAAGAAGTGCAATAGTTCAAACTTTCACATTCCATGTGGCATATCAAGGTAGATAAAAGACAGAAAAAGAGGTTCGGCAGAAGTAGAAGGAGCGGAAGAGTTCGGAAGAAAGATCATTAACAAGGAGAAACATGAGTGCTTTGTGGATATGGTGATGCCAAAAAGTGATGAACGCATCTGTGCCACTGAGAACTATTTTAAGCCATGTTATCAATCATGTTATCCTTAATCAGTGGATCTTAGCAACCCGAGGATCCTATGCAAGAAGAGTCTGCACCTCCATACATGACGCAGATCAACTGTCAAAGAATTCGCAGACTAATGCCACATTGTGGTTTGTTCATCCTTAACTCTTTTCCAACCTAATCTTATGTCAGCTAATATTTTCCGATCAGGGATAGAGTGCGTCGGCAAGTGCAACATGTGTCTAGTCATCTCAATCGGTGCAGATTGACTTTCCTCCTTATATAACAAACACTCTACGCCTAATTCCAATATCACGTCCACACCAGACAGAGATGATGTAAGTTAGTAAATGCCAGGCAAGCCTTTTGTATCCCTGCTGAGATTTCGTCAGAAATGAGTTAAGTGTTTAGTAAGCTCTGCCACTTGACCTTTAATTTAGTCGTAACCTGTTCAGCAATTTCTTGTATCCGCTTGTCGACCTAAATTGCCTTTGCTTACATCAGAATTTAAGCTATTTGAAAGACTGACATTTATTTAACACTCGAAATCAGGATATGCAAGTTACGTGTTTCAGTCTATAACGAACACTATTCAAGGCTCCATGATATGATCAAACTTGTCACAATACCACAAAAATACATCAATATAGTATAAGGCGTGGCAGCTTGGCTGCATCACACACAACACTGAGACACATCATTCAGAGAAAAGCAAATATCAAGGTAATATTCCACATTGCCATTCCACTTGGCTTCATAATCATAATACAAGACTCACCAATGAAGACTGACAAGAACCGATATTCTGAAAGCTTCTTTGGCTATTATCTATTGATTCATATATGTACACCTTCCATCTGAGTCATGAAAGAAGAATGAAGGAGAATATACCACGGTTCAGTAACATGAAACTCTGTATTAAATTATGGTAGACTTGTATATTTAGACTGAAATATATTCTGAGGGACACATTTTCTAGTTGACAGACGTTTAAGTATGATAATAGACATTATATTTAGTGCAAATATACCTTTTTTTTTTTTTTTTTTTTTTTTTTTTTTTTTTTTTTTTTTTTTTTTTTTTTTTTTTTTTTTTTTTTTTTTTTTTTTTTTTTTTTTTTTTTTTTTTTTTTTTTTTTTTTTTTTTTTTTTTTTTTTTTTTTTTTTTTTTTTTTTTTTTTTTTTTTTTTTTTTTTTTTTTTTTTTTTTTTTTTTTTTTTTTTTTTTTTTTTTTTTTTTATGAGAAAGCGAATTATAATCACTCTTATATCGGTATTTTGAAACATGTTAGTTTATTTGGATGAAAGTTGACATACATGAAATGGAATTTCATGAAAAGGTGACCTAACAGAAAAGAAGATTTCCTCTCAATAGATGAATCACTTTCGAGGCCTGCTTGCTGCAACAATCGTGTAGACGTTCAGCAGATGAATTCATAAAAGCTATCATCAAATACCGATGATTATGTCCTAAAAATGTTATGTGTAATCTAAAGAATAACTTTAGAAAGGAACACACAAGTGAACATTAAAGAATGGAAGTCGATATTAAGTAAAAGCTGAAATACCGTTATGTTTAAATGTAATACACAAACGAAATACAATAATAATAATAATGGTGATAAAATAATAATTATTAATAGTAGTATAAATCAAACACCAAACAATAAGATGGAAAAATATTGTGACAAGAATAGTACTCTGGGAGTGGAAGCAATCAGCAGGAAGCCTCATCTGGCCTAAGTTTCATGCTAGTTGGCTTTCTCCAGTCACCAAGGCGTATCTGCAAACTTGAAGGAACTCACTTCCATCTTCTGAAATTCGAGCCTGCGTCACCCAGTGCAACTTGCAGTCAGAGACCTTACCATTGAGGAGCTAGTCGCACTTATGATTGACCTCCTGTAGGACTGTATTCCATATTTTTGATTGGACACTAGTCAATAACTAGTGTGATATGTTTAGTCCTATCTGAATGGTGAATAACTCAGTGGTAACGTATTTCTCTCTGGCACATAATGATGTGGATTCTAATCTCAGAAGGTATTTGAGTTCTTTCAAGTTTGAAGATACGCCTTGCTAACTGGTGAGTGGACAGGCATAAAATGGACTCACACAAAAGACTTCGAGGATCTGGATTTCGCCAATGATGATATATGTCTGATTTCCCACAAACTGGAAGATTTGCAAATGAAAAGCAACAAGTTGGCAGAAGAAGCATCAAAGATAGGACTTCAAGTGAACATAGATATAAACAGAGGTTATGAAGATTACAAGCCAACATCAACAGCAGCAACAACAACAACAGACAACAATCAGCATAAGTGGGAAGAACCTGAAAGAAACAGCCTCCTTCACCTACCTGGGAAGCATCGTCTCAACTACAGGCCAACGGAACTGACGAGGATATCAAAGCCAGAATCGGAAAAGCAAGACAAGCTTTCATTACTCTCAAATCTGTGTAGAGGTAAACAGCACTCAGCATCAAAAATAAGATCCGGATTTTCAACTCCAATGTGAAGTCAGTGCTACTTACTATACGGATCAGAGACTTGGCCAGCGCGTCATAAAGAGCATCTCCAACAAACTTCAGACCTTCATTAACAGTTGTCTTCGCTCAATACTCAAGATCAGATGGCCAGCCAGAAAAGATCAGCAACACGGATCTCTGGGAGTGAACCAATCCAGCAGGAACCGATTGTGAAACAAATAAGCCGGAAGAAATGGAGATGGATTGGCCATACGCTGAGGAAACCATCAAGTGACATCACTAGACAAGCCATTACTCGAGTGGAACCCGAAAGGGAGGCGGCGAGTTGGTCGTCAGTGCAAGGGTGACTTGGAGGAGGTCATGCGAGGAGGAGATGAAAGCATGTGGACAGACCTGGAGCGGGGTGAAAAAGTTGGCAGAAAACAGAAGGCAATGGAGGTGCGTAGCTGAAGCCCTATGTTCCTATAGGAATTAAAGGATACAATAATAAATAATAATAATAACTGGTGAGTGGTAACAACACGAAACTTATGCCAGAGGAGGTATCTTGCTGACTGCTTCCCTCAACCATCTAATACCAACAGTTCACAGTGCACCATGATCGCGAGCCACCCAATGGCGTGGTAGATAGACTGATGGAATTCAGTCAGCTCCCAAGATAGGTTTAGACACGCTACACTAGTTACTGACTAGTGTGCAAACAAAGATGACATATGGCTTTCTCTGACTTTTCTTAAGACGTCAACGAATTTTACAGCAGAATTAGAAAAATACAATAACTTCTTTTACAACTTTGAAGTTCATCTCTTCTTATTCGACATATAATCGTCACCATCATCATCATCCATATTGAAAGTTTGATTTTATTCTAGTGTTACACCTCAACCTGGGTGAGTTATTTCCGCTTTTTGCTAGAAATTCTTTCAGTCGTAATGTAAGACAAGAACATAGGCACAGTGGTACAGTATAATTCCTTCACAGAGTAAATTTATTCGAAGGAATTTCTACAGCATTATTTACTAATGATGTTTCGAGCACAATTCATTGCTTATAATCATATCAAGGTACTCAGACAACTTTGTTTGTATACATGATTCTTAGAACCACCGATTAGATAGAGTACTGGATAAGGAAAGTCCAATGTGAAGTTCAATAGACAAACAGGAAAACACGCCTACCGATATATAATAAGACCTGGCCATGAAACCAGTAGTGGAGTTTGACGAGATAGAGGACGGAGTGGAAAGAAGCAATCAATAACGTAAAAGGAAAGCAGAAGATGGACTCTGTGAAATCCGAACAGACAGTAAAGTGGGGTAACAACAGAGGGCAAGACATTGGAGCCAAGGTATATTTTTCATTGATCAAACCGCTGTTTATATATCTACAGTTTATTTTCTTCAACCGCTCACTGAGCGTATAATTTCGGTTCATATCAAACGACATGAAAAACAATATTCAAATATACATAGTATTCTTTTGTTAATGCAGTATATAACTGTGGGAAATGTATTCTGTCTCTAACATCAAATCGAATGTTCAAACAGATATATTGTATGCGGTATTGAACTGTGAGAATATGTGAGCATAACACTCCGTTTGCACACATTGTCTGTATCACACCACCACAGGGAAAGTAGCCATCATTCGAGATCGGAAATCAAGTTAAATTTAGAGATAGGCAAAACACCGGCGGATATTCGCCAGGGTCACGAAAACTGCTTCCAAAATGGGAAGGATCATACACGGTCATCGCCAAGGGGAGTCACGTATATGCCATCAAAAATACAAACAAAGAGAAGCGGGTGAACGTCAGTGGACTGCAGAAATGGAGACAGAGAGACAAGCAAAGGAAGACGCCAGCATCAAGAAGATCAAGCCAACCTTAGTCTAAACTATTTAAGGGGGATGGAACGAATGTAGTGGTGTGATACAGGCAGTGTGTGCCAACGCGAGAGTTTTCAGTAGTTAGAAAAATAAGCATGCAAACAAAAGTTAAGCCAAAACAAAAGAGTTGTTACCAGGATGGTAAAAGTGGTTGAATAATTTTCTTTTGTATGCATAGTTCTGGTTCTTCCAACTGAATGGCTAGGGCTTCTGCAATGCAAAGAAGACGGAAACGTAATGCCTTTGTCAGGCTGTTTTTCAAGTTGTAGATTACTTTGAAGGAGGCGTTTGTTGAGATGGAAGGATTAGTGTTGACGAGATATTTGATTATTGCACTGCTTATACGGCCACTAATTCCTTTCTGCAACCAAGCTGGATAGTGTTCTTTGACCCTTTTTGACAGGATGCGGTTCATATATAAAGTATCTTTTTCAGCACTTCTCGCGTTCGACGCATCTGCAGCTCTGATAACCTGGAAGAAGAACTACACTTCCTGAAAGAAATCTTCATACAAAACGGTTATCCACCAAGATTCATAGACAAAAGCATCGGATAGAAAATCCAAAAGCAAGAGACGCCAGTTCAATACTGTATAAACAAAAGAATACTATGTAGATCTGAACATTCTATTTCATGATGCTTGATATGAACCGAAATCACACACTCGATGATTGATAAAGGAATATAAACTGTAGATGTGTAAACAGTGGTTTGATCAGTGAAAAAATATACCTTGGCTCCCATGTCTTGCCTTCTGTTGTTACAGTACTAAAGCATAAAAAAAGAACAATGGAGTTCCTGCGTAGGATTTTTAATATAAGACTGGAATTAGTGTGGCATTTTAATCAACCTACTCACTTAGAAACAAACGTTGTCGTCTCAAGGACCCAATAGATCTGATTAAGAAAATTAATATAGTTTACCAAATGCTATGTAATCATTGTGAGGTAAGTAGCATGGGTCAAACTAGTAGATCGGGATCAATTAAATTATTGGAACATAAAAATCCTAGAGAGATCTAGAAAAAAATAATAATAAAATAGAAGACGGCATCCTCTGACTACGGCCAATGTACCTTGCTCCACAAGAGCAGGTGAACTGAAAGATGTACATGGAGGCGGTCAGACGAGGGAGCTTATCTTTTACAGAGGTGGAGAACAACTTGCGGCTATTGAACATCATATGTAATTTTACTGCAGAGAATGTCTTACTGATTGATTTAGAGAGACGATTTTTGAGCATATCTGAAGCTTGATCACCTTTGAATTCCACGTTCACACCATGTTATGTAACATTTTATATTCGTCTACTAATCCTATAGTTATGTACTCCCTTCCGAGATCTATACACCTTATGAATTATTCTGTGCGTCGGTGGCACAGTGGTTAGGAATCTCGCCGACCATGCACATGGTCCTGGGTTCAAGCCCACGCTGACGCACACCTGATATCTATGGTCGGCCTGCGAAATTTGGGCTACCGATATCCACGCTGAAAATTCCATAATTGTACCAAAAATACAGTGTGGAATCAAGCTGTAATCAAAAAAAAATAAAAAAATCAAATAAAGAATGAATGGCCTTACTAAATTAAATTACCTAGAAAAACTTAGCCATTTCAATGCATTCACTTGCACACATTAGGGTAGGGGAGAGAGGTTGATTATTTGACTTGTGATTGAATGGAGGATTTCATCATGAGCTGGCATCAGTTAGACAACCACTGGAAAACCACCAGGGAGTAATGGACAGCTGTTCCGTCCTAGTCTGAGACTCTTCAGCAGTACGCACCCACCACCAGGGTTCGAATCCAGGACCTTATTGTTACAAGGCTAGAGAGCTCTAGACCATTCAGCAGCCACTGGGACCTTATCCAGTGGTCCTTGAATTCTAAATTCTGCCAATTTACGACATAACGCGACCACCTCGCAATATCTTCTTCGATGAGTTACTGCCTCATCTTCAACCTGCTGTACCCTACTGGTCACGGCTTCCCTCTAGAACCCAAGGTAACTAACTGCATGAACAGGGCAAGTCGCTAGTGAGCTTTGACCTTTGTTCATCAAATCAACACTAAAAACACATGCATTGATGTAAGAATAGAATTAGTGTACTGCGTTAGATTATAATTCCACTGTGGGTAAAATTTACTTTGATAAAGACTCATAATGGTATTATACAGTAATATTTACTGATGACCACGTTTCTACCACAATTTATTACCACTCCTAATTATATCAAGGTACTCACACAACTTTCTTACTTCGTTTATATAATTCCATTATGTTTCATTGCTTGACTTGACTGGTAGTAGTATTTCCCATATCTCTGGTATGAGTGATTCCTGTTGCATGTATTGGGTGTGGACTAAATGAACAAGGATTCAGTAATCAACCACCTCTCTCTCCAACTGCCTATATTACTTTTTAGAATTTTAACTCTCTCCCCCACTCTATTGTGTGGTTGTGTGTTAATGCATGTAGTTCAGTTGTTGAGCTCTTTTCTAAATTATTTATCTTCGCGGGTGGGGTCAATCATTCAAACCTTAGATAAATTAGGAGGGCATGGACAGGATACACTGGGATGATTATGGGTAATAAATTTTACTCGAAAGGATGTCCAGTTATTAACACTTTATCATTCTGTTATATTAAATAAAATTTATCTAATATGGCATTACATTCTACAACAGTGTCTAAGTTCCACCCTAACATTATCAATAGTTTTGTTTAAATTTATCTTAATTCAATGTTCAATACTTTTCCCTTTAAAAATACATCATTTTAGCAAGCACCGAACTACAAAGTAAGCGATTTAACACACAGATGTACACATGCAAACATACTTTGAAATTTGATTGTCTCTCATCACATTTACATGGTGTGCTTGAGGGCCAGTGAAAAATAAGAGTAAACAGGCTCATTATTGCAGTTTCAACCTAGTTTAGCGTTATTTCGTGGTATTTGCTTAGTCAGGGCAAAATAGCTGACTGGTAAATGTCAATCCTGTGGCGTGGAAAAATAAACCTCACTCTAATACCAACCTGTTTTCCGTGAAACTTCTAATCTTATACGTCAACAGATATTTTTCTCTTGAAACAGACGGAGACTTATTTAGCAGTGGGGAATATTTTTAACTACCTACTTATCATGCAATATGCTTCTTATGTAACCAATGATAAAGAGAATGGTTAGACAACACAAAATGATCACATGATAGATATGATGTCTGCTGACTTAGAATGACGTCCATTTTTGAGGACGACAGGGCAAAAACGCAAGCTTCAAAAGTTCACCCGTGTAGACTAATAGACCTCTAACTTGGAGGTTATTTAGAAGTTTGCACCTGAAGTTACAACAATTACATTATCAATTGATTGAAGATGCCCATTCGAAATTTCAAAAGATTGATTATGTAACAAAGAGTATTCTTTGAGATAACTTACTCTTCATCAGCTTGTTGTTCTACAGTTATATGCATACATGACAATGACAGAATGATTGTTATTGACTGACAACATTAGTGGTTTTTGTAAAAGAGAGTGACATCGAATCATTTAGATCAGAACTCCAAAAGTTATTTGTGATTAGATTGTTAATAGATTAGATTATATATAATTGGTGGATAGTGACTAGCAGTGGAATTCATCCAAGATGCGCATTTCGTCCTATTTGGGACTCGTCCTCAAGCTGGGTGTACCTGCATTTCTCAGTGAGTGATGATGTTCCCACCGAGGGTCGGACCGACATTTCAACCTGAGACCGAGCACTTTGGTCCAATCAATCAACAGGAAAATCTAAAATTCAATTAGATTAGATTATAGTCCAAAATATATGTGTGTATGTGGTAATTTGTAGAATTGTAATAATAAACTGAACCCCAGTATTGGAATGGCAGTCACCTCTCTATCTCAACTTCATCAACTTAGAAAAGGCCTTCGACAGCGTCGATCGAGAGGTCATTTGGCAACTACTTCGCTACTACGAGGTGCCATCGACAATTATACATCTTATCCAACAGTTGTACGACAATGCTGCTTGCCAAGTACTCCACAACGGGAAACTCACGGAATCCTTGGAAGTGAAGGCGGGAGTAAGACAAGGCTGCCTACTATCGCCAATGATTTTCCTGATTACAGGGGATTGGATTATGCGACAAACGGCGGGCAATGAGGAAATAGGCATAAAATGAACTCACACAAAAAACTTGGAAGATCTGAACTTCGTCGATGATATATGTCTGATTTCCCACAAACTGGAAGATATGCAAGTGAAAAGCAACAAGCTGGCGATAGAAGAAGCATCAAAGATAGGTCTTCAGGTGAACATAGATAAAACAGAGGTGGTGAAGATTCCTGAACAACACCAACAGCAGCAACAACAGACAACAATCAGCCAGCATAAATGGGAGGAACCTGAAAGAAACAACCTCCTTTACCCACCTACCTACCTGGGAAGCATCGTTTCAACTACAAGCGGAACTGACGAGGATATCAAAGCCAGAATCGGAAAAGCAAGACAAGCTTTCATTACTCTCAAGTCTGTGTGGAGTTCAACAACACTCAACATGAAAAATAACATCCAGATTTTCAAATCCAGCGTGAAGTCAGTGCTACTATACGGTTCAGAGACTTGGCGCGTAATGAAGAGCACCTTAAACAAACTACAAACCTTCATCAACAGCTGTCTTCGCTCAGCACCACTCAAGATCAGGTGACCGCCAGAAGAGTTCAGCAACAGGGATCTCTGGAAGCGAACCAACAAGGAACCGATTTTGAAACAAATAGGCAGGAGTAAATGGAGATGGAATGGCCATACTGTGAGGAAACCATCAAGTGACATCACTAGACAAGCCATTGCTCGAGTGGAACCCGAAAGGGAAGTGGCGAGTTGGTCGTCAGTGCAAGGGTGACTTTGAGGAGGTCATGTGAAGAGGAGATGAAGGCGTATGGGTAGACTTGGAGCCAGGTGAAAACGTTGTCAGAGAACCGAACGCAATGGAGACGTGCATCAGAAGCCCTATGTTCCTTTAGAAACTAAAAGAAACAACAATATAATAATTACAAAGTAATTGATTATGAATGACAACAAATATACATAGTAGTGAATTCTGACGAGTCATGTTCATATTAAGTTCCATTCATATTGATTATAAACTGCAGATAAATTAGTGATCATGTCGAGGACTAGGTTAGAGAAAGAGGACTTTTAGGTTTGAATTTTATATGCGTTGTATGTGTGTCGTCATTGTGTAAGTCAAAAGCTACGTTTAAACAAGGAAACAAAAGGTAAGTTATTTAATTGAATTTTAGATTTTCCCGTCTATTGATTGGACTAAAGTGATCGGTCTCAGGTTGACATGTCGCTTCCTCTGCGGATGCTTCGACGATGTCTGGGAATGTTATTAGAATTTAATTGGTGCATGGTGACTAATTAGATGCTCAGACATCGCTGAAGCATTTGCACAAGGAGCCGACATGTCAACCTGAGTAGACCGAGCACTTCGGTCCAATCAATCGACGGGAAAATCTAAAATTCAATTAAATAGTTAATATGACCCGTTGCACAAGAGGTGGCTCTCATGACCCAAGTGGTCTAGTGGATAACGCTTTGGCGTTCGAAACTATTGGGCACTGTGTTCTAGCCTCGGTGGGAACACCACCAGTCACTGATTGAGGAATTCAGGTACATCCAGGTGGAGGACGAGTCCAAATAGGACGAAATGCGCGTTCTGACTGGATTCCACTCCTAGTCACCATCCACAAGTCAAAAGGTTAGTTAGTTAATGTAAGTGTAATGACAAAGGATAGGGGAATTTTTATATACAGGATTGAGGGTTACAACAAGAGGGTCGATGTATTAAGGTATTTATGAATTTGAAAACTCCGCAGAAGGCCAGGTCAGTAATAGTTATGATAATTTTTGCTTTATTCCGAAAACAGTACTAATGATACAGCAAGGAATTTTCAGCATTCAGTACAATATTGCTTCTAATTTACTCAAAACGACAAAAAATAAACATTACATAATAATAATAATAACAAAACGTTGTTATAGCAGCTATGCAGCAAATTACAGTACGCGATAAGGAGAAAGATATGCATAAAGTTGTGGTAATAATAGTAATAACAACCAAAAGAAAATAGCAAAGTTATAATTAAACAATAGAAAGAGTGACACCATAAAATTACAGAAAGATGAACGATGAAAGGGTCGATTCACTTTGCTAATTGCATAGTAAGTTATAAGTCTCACGTCTAACACTGTCTTCATCACATAAAATATGGGTTAAATAGGGTATTGTGGAATTTTTGTACTTAGTGGTTCGAGCATATAACTTCTCATATTGATTTCTCGTCCTACCTGATGAGATGCAAGGGGACAGTCGTGAATAAAGGGGGTGCAGGGGGTCTGACAGTACGGCCTTTGACCATTTTGTACAGGAATTTATGTGTCTCTCGACTATAATATTGGCGAGCTCACGCAGTGGCAAACCATAAGCCCTACTAACAGCCTTTAATACCCTTCGTAATATGATATAGTCTTTTTCGAGAAACCCAGGAAAGATTAATGGAGAGCAATAGAGTAGAATAGGTAAAATGCAGGAGTTTACAAACTGCAGAAGTGAAGGTTGGTTGATACCTGATTTTCTTAACTTTCTAATGTAGAAGGTGAGACAAAACATTTTCTTAGAGATTGATGAGATATGGGATGACCATGAAAGGTCAGAGGAACGAACTTATCCAAGGTATTTAATGCTTGACTTGGTTTCCATTTCAGTGCCATCTATGCTACAGGCATCATGGGAACTAACTAGTTCATGTATGTCACGTCGATGCTTGAAAGTAAAGTTAACTGCCTGACATTTGGAAGGATTTAATATAAGACCATTTGACTTAGACCACTTGCTGATGTCCAACCCAAAGCTATTAAGTTTGGAGCAGTCAGACTCGGAAGTGATAGGCAGTGATACAGTCAGATCATCTGCATATTTGACAGAGTTAGTTTCGTTTAAATGAGGTAGGTCGTGTGAGAAGAAAGAAAAAAGAAAAGGAGAGAGGACGGCACCTTGAGGAACACCGTCTTTTGTAAGCGAGGTAGAAGATTCGCCATTATATACAGTATAGTGCATTCTATCAGAAAAATAAGAATGCAACCAACTCTTAGCCCAGTATTCTGTTTGCGTCAACGAAAGCTTATTTAATAAAAGGCCCCTAGGTACAGTGTCAAAAGCAGATGTGTAGTCCAGGAAAGCACCATGAACATATTTGGCACTTTTGTCTAAACAAGAAACAACATTATGATATAAGGCAACCGTAGCGTCCAAGGTACGTCTACCATTTTTATATTCAAGTTGTTTAGGATCATTAAAAGGTTTCAACGAAGGTTCAAGACGAAGTAAAAGTAATTTTTCCATCAATTTTAAAAAAGGAGAAGTAATTGCAGTAGGCCTAAATTTAATATCATTACCAGAAGATGGTTTTGATATGGGGATAATTTTAATGTTTTTCCATGCAAAAGGTAGAGCATTAATGGAAAAGGAAGCATTAAAAATGTTAGTAAGAGGGTAACATAAAATATCAGCACAGTTCCTGAGGACAATGGCAGGTACACCATCAGGACCAAGGCTTTGGGAAGGTTTAAGAGACCGGAGACATTTAAGCACATGATTGGTAACATTAGGAAGGATATCAACAAAAGAGCGTATGAAAGACTTATTTAGAGTATCAACATTAAGAGATGGAACAGAAGTACATCGCTTACCGCTAGTAATTTCTTTGAAAAGTTTCCACAAACTAGAAGGGGTTTTACACGACAAGAATCTTTGGTTACATAGAACATTTATTGGTTGGACATGTTTCTTCGGCACACAGAGCATGGGTTGTCTCAGGCGAATCGCGATAGCCCCTGCTGTTTGGAGTAAGCCGTAACTGGATGTTTTTGGTAATTTATTTGATATCCAATAGCTGATGATGGAGAAGGTCTCTTCCCTATTGGCATCGTGGCCAGTTTGAACCAGGTGTTCTAATATGGAGCTATTGATGTTTCTGACTACACATTTATTTAACCACACAGGTAGAGCAACGGCCAATATAACTCGCTCCACAAACGCAGTTGAATTGGTAGAAATAACAAGAAGTGGCTAGTCTAGGTCCTTCATCTTTCAATTGAGGAGTCACCATCAGTCGTGTAGAAAATAAGACTTGTAGTTTGCCAGGATTAAAAGTTCTATGAACCTTGAATTGTAGTCTTATGTATCAAGGCTTCTTGTTTATGGGTAGTGAGTAGTCCTTTTCATTACATCACATTACCATATACACATATTATTATTTCCTTTAACTTCTAGAGGGACATAGGGATTCAGCCAAGCGTCTCCATTGCATTCGGTTCTCTGCTAGAGTTTTCACCTGGCTCCAGGTCTGCCTACATGCTTTCATCTCCTCTTCACATGACCTCCTCAAAGTCACCCTTGCACTGACGACCAACTCACCGCTTCCACTTCCTCGGATTCCACTCGAGCAATGGCTTGTCTAGTGATGTCACTTGATGGTTTCCTCACAGTACGGCCAGTAATCCATCTCCATTTCTTCCCGCCTATTTGTTTCACAGTCGGTTCCTGGTTGGTTCGCTCATTACCAGAGATCCCTGTTGCTGATCTTTTCTGGACGGGCATCTGATCTTGAGTACTGAGCGAAGGTATATATTTTGGACTTTAATCTAATCTACTAACAGTCTAGCTGCAAATAACTTTTCGAATTCTGATCTAAATGCTTCGATGTTACTCTCTTTTATAAAAGCCACTAATGATCTCAGTCAATAACAATCATTCTGTCATTATCATTGATGCATATAGCTGTATAACAAGCTGATGAAGAGCCGGTTATCTCAATGAATATTCTTTGTTCAATAGCCAATCCTTTGAAATTATATTATTATTCATTGCATTCCTTCCTAGTGGAACATAGGCCTTCATAGGGCACATCTTCAAAGAAATCGGTTTTCTGCAGTCACCTGCATTTGGGACCACGAATGCTCGTAATCTTTCATTTCTTACTCACATAACCACATGCAAGGGAAGTTCGGACCCTCAGCCCTTCTCTTCGTATCCGGGTTTACTCAAGCGCGTGGCGAGTGACACCATCCGAGCGGTCTTTTCAGTATATATATACAGTCTGTGTTCATTTTCTTCTATCTGGATGGTGTCCAGCTTGTTCTCAGAGTTCTCTGCTGTTTTGTTTATTCTTTCTAGCCTGACAACTTGTCTTTAGCATAGAGTGAAGGTAGCTATCGAAGTAGAAATACGAAGTATTATTACTTTTAATTACTTATTCTTATAAATTTTCACTAAATGATGAACATCTAATTTATTAAACATTTATGTCAACCTATAACTTAGACGTTACCCAACACCGAAGTAAGTTATACAAACTAACATCTTATCTAAATGATGTATTGATTGATTCTAGCGTTTTGTTATGATAATTTATTTAAATTAGAATGGTAATGATTCTTATTTTAGCTTCTAAGATTTACTACAATAAGTGGGCATATTCTGATGGCTGATATGCATAGTTGGGACTGACTTACATCAACTGGCAGCGCTTTCTTGCTAAACCAAAGTAATCTAAACAGCAGGCAGGTGTTTCTTTCGTCTGAAGACGAGCTCATCAGTTGTGTTACAGGTCTAACTTGATTCAGAGGGTTAAACTGATTAGAAATAACCCGAACTGATAAATACAAATCTGACTCCAGATTACATGAGCTTTGCAGAAATCCATTTTAATACTGTAATTTTGTACCCATTGAAATTCCTGGAGTGTTTCATTACTGTCACTGAGATGTGGGCAAACAGTTGAGAATCACATTACGATAATAAAAAAGACAATGGCATAGGAAAGCCTCATTATTATTATAAGGCATTTTGAGAACCCCATTGAATGGAGGACAAAACGATATTGTTATTTTTGCTGACGTTTTGCTATTTAGTGTTGCCAATAGCTCTATCAAAGTATAACTCAACCCGAATTCACAAAATCTCAGCTCATATGCAAGAAAATGAATCATAGTCTGGGTAGAAATTAATTCACCATTGGTTCACCAGCTTCCACAATAGTTCTCAATCTCTTCATGAATAAATTTAAAAAGACACCGTCTTCTTCGATATAATAGAACTTAAAAACTGGCCAGTATATGTTGATGGTACCAATATAATATCAGAAAGAAACCTGTACAGCTCATTCCTCGAGAAACTAAACAGCCAGTTTCCCCGGATTAAATTTACTTTGAATTACCTTTTCTAGACTGTCCAGTTTAGCGGGAGGAAAGTACGTCCTTTAATATCAGGACGTCTAGGGATAAAAAAATACTCCAGCAAATCACACAGTGTTGTTATACAGTAGTATTTACTGATGATCAAGTTTCAAACACAATTAATTACTACTGCTCATAATCATATCAAGGCACACTACTCACTCTCACAGCTTTCTTGCTTCATTTATACAAATGAGTAAAAATTAATCGTTAGACAGTAGAGTAAAATCAGTATAAGATAAAGTACATTGGGAAATAATATTAGTTTTATCAATCAAATACAATCAGATGGGAAATAAGATGCTTTTTACAGTAAAATAAATAATTAACTTGGTAAAATTGTTATAATGTGAATTGAATTGAATAAATTTTAACGTTACTCATTGTTAACCTCCTCTGATTTGACTGGTAATGATATCTTCCGAAAAATGTGATGTATTAGCGCTATACATTTCGAACAATCTGATCACACATTTACTTGTCAAGTCAATGTATATAGAAAGGTTAAATTAAACAAAGTGAGAGAAAACGGAATTAAGAATAAGAATCCGTTTTCTCTCACTTTGTTTAATTTAACCTTTCTATATATATTGACTTGACAAGTAAATGTGTGATCAGATTGTTCGAAATGTATAGCGCTAATACATCACATTTTTCAGATAGTCTCCGTCTTCTAATAACGTTATCAAAATTTATAAAAGGGACTATTTGTTTTAAATGATATCTTCCATATCTCTGGTATATGTGTTGAGTCACTTCTATTGCGCATGTGTCAGGTGTAGACTCGATGAAGAGATTGAATACAGGATACTGGTTCATTGAGTCCAGTCTGCTTCCGAGTTACACGTTTTCTCTATATCAACTTAATACGTTATATTCAGTAGGTCAATGATTGACAGCCTAACTGAGCAACACAACACTGCACAAAGTTTATAAAAAAAAAGTGAAGAAGAAGAAGTCACGGCTATACTGTCAACTACTTTTAATAACTTTTTTTAAAAACTTTTCTGATATTATGATTAAATAAAATAATACAAAATTATAGAATCTTTTAACGTCAAACAAATTATGGTTAATTCTAATTTTAGACCTCGTCCTGCTGTCTACTTGTAAGTATGATACATTGATCAATACTTTTTACAGTTTGAGTTGGACTGATAGATTCCATTACGGCTTTTCGGCTGCTTGTATTGTGGTAAGAGCTGTCTGCTAGCTAAAAGTATAGACAAAAAACTTACGTCAATGTTTACGTCCCGAATCGGGGTTATGAGAAAAACGATAACAAAACATTAACCTTGAGGAACTCAACAACCAATCACAACAGACTTAATGTGTGCAAACAAGATTCGAAGATATATGGCTTCACTTTCTGAGAAACAGTCACAAGCAGTACAGAATAACCTTCAGCAAGGACGTTGCTTCTCTGCTGACAATAATGTACATAGAAATCTCTACATATTTCTTGACTTCCTCAATAAACGATCTGTTACCTGGCAGTTATCTTCTATCGTTGCAGCATAAAAAATCACTTCGTTATTCAAAGAGTCTAAAATTCAGTTTTTGGTGGGGTCACTGGGACGCAATGCTGAAGAGTTTTAAACTCAGACGAAATAGCCGTTCAGCGCTTCGTAGTTTCTAGTGATTCCCTAAATGATGAAATACGCACTGGGGTTTTCGCAGGAATTTCCTTTCTCTCTTCCTTTTCATATACCGAATATCTAACAAGTGAATAAACATCATTATCATTAGATTTGTAAAAACGAAATTCATTCATGCGGTGAAAAAGATGTTCCTTCCATACTAAAGCGTTTGTTCTGTGCATAATATAACTACAGCATTATGGTTATTTTGCTACCAAAGCGTTAAACTTTAGGAGTGAATTTTTCTCAGGTGCTTTCAGTTGGTGATTCTTTAACTTCGTTATTTTTTGTTTGTTGAAGGCGACTTGGGTCGTTATTACTTTAAAAAATTGAAGATAAGCCATTGAGTATTACGAAATCCTAGATCTTTAATTAGAACCTACTATCGATTGACTTTCATGTCTCAGCTATACGATGGAAACTTTGAATGATCTTCGCCAAATCAACATCTCATGCTAAAATTCTGGTATGTTATTCTCTAAAGGATGGACTGTTACAACTTTCGACCTCCCCGAAGTCTAAACAAACTTATAAGAGGAAAACGTGACTTTAACTGTAATGATATTAAAATATTAATTGATGGGTGGTGACTAGCAATGGAATCCAGATAGAACGCGCATTTCGTCTTATTTTGGACTCGTCCTCCAGCTGGATGCGCCTGCATTCCGAAGTGAGTCATGATATCCCCACTGATTGAATTAAATAATTAACATGACCTGTTGCACAATAGGTGGTCCTCGTGGCATAAGTGTTCTAGTGGATAAGGCTTTGGTATTTGAAACTATGGGCACTGGATTCGAGCCTAGGTGAGAACATCATCAACACTCACTGTGGAATGCAGGTAGATCCAGCTGGACGACGAGTTCCAAATGGGACGAAACGCACCTTCTGACTGAATTCCACTGCTAGTCACCATCCACCAGTTAATTTGTGGTTACATGACCAGACATCATCGAAAAATCTGCACAAGAGGCCGACATGTCAACCTGAGAATGAGCACTTCGGTCCAATCAATCGAGGGGGAAATCTAAAATTGAATTAAATGTAATTCCATATTAGTTTGTTTATTAGATGTATCACACAGTGAAACGTCATCCAGTGAACAAAACCGTTTCACTGTGTGATACATCTAATAAACAAACTAATATGGAATTACTTACTACCACAGTGCCCAAGTTTTACACATTTATGAATTAAATGTAATGCTATTATCTTTTAAAAATCCATTTCAGCTACGATCCACAATTTGATACGTAAGTTTCAATAGCCAGCTCATTTTTCAAAATAGTTATTGATAACAGTCATAGGATATCATCAAATGAATCTATCCGGAGACATTAAATTTGTCTAGATCAACCCTCATACCTTCGTACTTTCTGTTTACTACAATAAATATCAAGGAGAGTGGTTTTGTAAAAGTTATAATTGTAAAATCTCATCAAAACTTAAATGATTAGTTCCAACGTTTCCTGCGTTAGGCAGGGAAATTAATCGAAATTAACATAACAGAGGTTTGTATATAAAAGGACATTCCTTTTTAAAACCTTTGTGCAATCATATGAGTTATGAAACACGTATCAAAGGATCAGCGATTGCACTGCATTCGATAGAAATCGGACACAAAATTGACTTCAGTAGGACTAAGGTTCTACGGAAACGTTTTGGTTTGTATAAAGAAAGACTGATTGCGAAAGTCCTATATATATGGGTAAATCGCAACAGTTTGAACAGACGTGAAGGTGTGATGTTAGCTGACTGATGCATGGCGAACCCTGATTAATAAATAAAAAAAGTGGATATGTATCACTAATTAATCATACTTGGTCTAAATTTCCGATTGTCTATACCTTCTTATGGAGAGGCTAACAAATGATTTACAACTGTTTACCCATACACACGTACACACACTCCCCACTGTATACCACATATACAAGTATATTTTCATATTCAGCTCCCAGGTTTTCCAATGGTTCTCTAACTAATGTCAGCTCATGATGAAATCCTGAAACCAATCAAATCCCTACAAACTAACACTTGAATACCAATGAGATGCTCACTGGCGACTGGCCCTATTCAGGTAGGTAGTTACCTGTGTTCCAGTGGGAAGTCGTGACCAGTAGGGTGCAGCAGGTCAGGTGTGAGGACAAATACTCGCCGAAGACATTGGCTAGCGGTCCCGCTACGTCGTGAATTGGCAGAAGTTAGAATTCATTGGCTGGCCATTGGATCGGGTCCCAGTGGTTTAATGGCCTACGAGATCGCTAGCTTTGTAACCGGTAGGTCCTGGGTTCGAGCCCCGGTGGGTGCGTACTGATGAAGAGTCCCAAACTAGGCTGGCGAAACAGCTGTCCAGTTCTCCCTGTGGCTGGTTTTCCAATGGTTCTCTAACTAATGTCAGCTCATGGTGAAATCCTGAAATCATACAAATTTGTTTATTATACATATTGATACCTGTTTGATGACTCGCATGTTTGGACAAAGTTTCTTAAAAACAAAAGATGTCCTTTTCATATATAAACCTCTGCTATGTTAATTTCGATTAATTTCCCTGAATAAGTTTTGGTCAGTCAGATTGGCTAACACAGAAAACGTTGGAATTGTGTATTTCAATTTCACTGAGATTTTAAAAATATAATTTTTACAAATGTCTACTTCTCACTAGGCGCTCAACTATATTTTTAGAACCATTCTGTCAAATCTTGATTACAGTTCATTTGAAGTGGTTTTGGTTTAAATTATGTCTACAAATTAAAATGCATCTTTGTGGTAAGTAAACTTGCGTACCGTACTGCTTTCATTGCTCTCCAAGGCACAGATTTGATGGACTGTGATTCCAAAAAATATTCTTCAAGGTGATTTCACAAATAAGTATGACTGGAGTTTTCGTGGAAAATGGCAAGGTGTTTGGAACATTCACAAGCAGTGAAAAGTTCTTTTGATTCATTATGGGTAAAATTTATTTTGATATAGTCTCACAGTGTTATAAAGTGATATTTACTGATGACATTTAGAGCACAGTTTATTGCTCGGTGGCACAGCAGTACAGTGTTCGCCAACCACGACTCACATGGTCCGGGGTTCGATCCCCGGCCACCGATGCACTGCTTTACCTCGCTAATCCCTAGTAAGACTGGTAAAGAGGGAAGGTTGGGCATGAATGAGGCTGGCTAGCAACCCCATGCCATAAAAATAAGCACCACTGCTACGAAAACTTCAAGCCCCTAGCTTGAAGCCTTATGTTCCACTGGGGAACGCGAAGGAATAAAAAGGACGTTTCGAATAACAATTGATAAATGATCTCAAGTAATCCCTGTTAAAGAAGAAGCGGCTATCGTAGCCTTTGGCATTTGATTCAATAAATAATAGGTTCGAGTCATCGTGAAAATATCACTCTCTGTGAATCAAGCATATTCGGCTGTTAAGTCCTAGATGGAGCGGAATTTTCTGTCTAGACTCTGTTGCTAAAAGCTACCAGACGAACAAATTCAGGCTAAAGATCCACTTAGTATTTATTAAAAGACAGTAGCTCCTTGGATGAGCCAAGCGAAGATATACAGTTAGACAGTAATTAAATCTAATCAGGAATTATTCGCCTACAAGGTGAAAAATTGAGGTATTTTGATCCTAATGGTTTTTGCTTTAACTGTACAATTCATGGAGAATTCCCATTGTAGAATACAGAAAATCAAAACAAGTGTTAATTCAGTGAAGAAACTCTTTTCAACGAATTTATTACCAAACTGTACAATCGTATGCACATATATGCTTTTTAAGAAGTTATATCCGGTGAGGGAATTCAGTCATAAGTGAGAATGCATAAAATAATAATAATAGTAGTAGTAGTATGAAATGCAATAAAAATAATTGTATCGCGAAAATATTCATTCAGATATCTATAAAAACATGATAATTGATCGAAGAATATCCTTTTCGATAAATTCCTCTTCCGGCTCTACAATTATATTTATATGTTTATACACATAGAATATTCTAGAATAGTAGTCAATATCAATATTAGTGTTGTTTTAAATAATATCGATTTGTAAAGTAAGATCACAATGGAATTACAGTTCATTAAAGATGCTTAAATAATAATAATAATAAAGATATAGTAGCAAATAGAATATCACGAAAAATACCCATTTATTCATAAGTAAAAATAGTATTTTGTTCAGCGAAGAAATTTCTTTTCAACGACTTCATTTTCAAGCTGTACAGTCGTACTTATAATACAGAAAAAGGTTATTAAGTGGCACTAAATAATTGTTGAGTCGATGTACGTATATATGTGATAAGAATAACGATAATTACAATGTTATGAGGGGTAGATTTGAAGTGGATGAATTACAAAAATATTAAAGATTGTTTTATAAGTCAATTGATATCAAAAATGTCAAGTGTTGTCTAAAAATTTTGAAAATTAGGAGTACGATTACGATAAGAATGAAGATGTGAAGTGAAGTGGAAAGAATTCAAGTGGTAAAATAAAATAAAAACTAGAAAGAACATTACTATGACCAAGGTAAAGAAAGGAGTTTGACAAAACGCTTTTGAACACATAATTTAGGTTTCTGTTCATGTATAGCTAAAGCTTCGGCTATGCATAAGTGAAGAAAACGTAAACTTTTGGATCAATTCGATTTTGCCATGTAGATAACTTTGAAGGATGAGTTACGTGGGGCTGAATGACGAGACTCTAACAGGTGATCACAAATAGACGACTTCGCAGTTCTACGTTCGCCTTTCATTAACCAAACCGGATAGTGTTCAGCTACACGTTTTCGGAGAGTACGCTTACAACGTCCTTTACTTAACTACAAAGGGTGTGTTTATAATTATGTTTAAATGTCAAGTGACAAAACCACCAATGTCATATATAGAATAATTCATATTTTTTTACAACTGGGAAGGAGTGTGTAATTATAGGATTCGTAGGCGAATCGAATAAAATAAAAACACTACTTAATATTGTGTGAAATTTGATAACATAAAATTCAACTTTTCAAACAGAACTGATTTAGAATGACAAGTGGAACAAGTAAAATAATACTGGGGATAGTTCAAAGTGAGAATAGTAATAGTAACAGTCGACGCAATAAAGGAAGAGTATGCAAATTGAATCGTTTTCTACCAAGTGGGTACCCAGCTGTAGAAATTTGTCAGTTGAACATCCCATGAAAGCTTCCGATAAATCGATCTTTTCAGAGATCTATCTGTCCTCCTTGATAAGTTCACATCGAGGAAATGAATACTAAACTCGTTCTCTATTTCGAGTGTGAATTTTATCGCTGAATGGCAAATGCATTAAATGCATTTACTATATTATTTAAATTACAATCACTGCTACAAATAATAAAAGTGTCATCTACATACCTTTTATACATTTAAAAGCTTTGGATTGTTGACTTCAACTGACCATTTTCTAGACTGGCCATAAAGAAGTCTGCAAGGAGAGGACCCAAAGGGCAGAACCCATTACAATACCATCCTTCTGTCTGTAGATTGTTTCAATGAAAGTAAACTGTACATTCAATGTATATCTCAAAAGTTTGTTTTTACTTGGCGTTCCCATCGAAACATAGGGCTCCAAGCTAGAGGCTTGAAGTTTCGGTAGTATTGGTGTTTATTTTTTACAGGATGGGGTTCCTAGCGTCATGCCCAACCTTTCCTCTTTACCAGCTTTATTACTGACTTGGCAAGGTAAAGGAGTACGTCAGTGGCCGGGGATTGAACCCCTGATAACGTATATGGTTGGCGAGCGTCCTAACCGCTGTGCCACGGACGAACTCACATCTTAAAAGTAGTTCTTTAAAATATGTAGTGGGTAACCCTATATCCAACTTGTTGTCTTCAATATATTTGCTTAAAAACCATATACATACGTTTGTACAGCTTGATAATAAATTCGTTATTCAAGTGTTGGTTTGTAGGGATTTGATTGACCTGCCCTATTCAGGCAGGTAGTTACCTGGTGTTCTATTTAGAAGTCGTCACCAGTATGGTGCAGCAGGTCAGGTGTGAGGACAAATACTCGCCGAAGACATTGGCTGGCGGTCGCGCTACGTCGTGAATTGGCAGAAGTTAGAATTCATTGGCTGACCATTGGATTGGGTCCCAGTGGTTTAATGATCTACGATATCGCTAGCTTTGTAACCGGAAGGTCCTGGGTTCGAGCCCCGATGGGTGAGTACTGCTGAAGAGTCCCAAACTAGGCTGGCGAAACAGCTAGCTGTCCAGTACTCCCAGGTTTTTCAATGCTTCTCTAACTGATGTCAGTCAGCTCATGATGAAACCTTATAACAAATAAATTTGTTGTTGGAGAGAGTTTCTTCACTGAATCACTTGTTTTGAATAACTAGACAGCACACCAAATGTTAGTGCAAATGAGGAAACTCAGGCAGACAAGTATGATGAACTTATTATTATTGCGAGGTAGCTGACCTTACATCATGTCATGGAAGTATCCACCTACTGTACTTAGTCTAAAAGTCACCGAATTCAATGTTGAATAAACTAATTTCACAAGTGGTCTTTGTTTTTTTTTTCTTCAATTAATTGTGTTTACTTTCATGAAATTAGAATACGTCTTTTTGTTTTAGTCAAGATATTACTATTTCAAAGTAAGCTAATACTTGTTAAATATTGTGCAGTTATAGTTTACACAACACATACAAGTATTATGCATCACTTTACATTGGGGTAGTTAGCTTTGCAAACATAAATTTTACTGTATTTCTTTTGATTTCTCATTGTAAATATTAGTAGAGCAAATCAAGTATTAGTTTCACAGATAGTAGTCATTGTATTGTAGGCATACTCTGAAATGAAGCCTAGCCAAAAGCCAAAAGCTGAAATCAACGATTTCCTACATATCTGGAACAATTCATCATTGTGAAACGCATGTTAAGGCAGACAGTCCTGCACCTGCTGAGTATAGATTTTCAAGTGCCCCCAGTTATTATTATCATTATTATTCCTTTGGGTTTGTTACTAAGACGTGAGGCTTCAACAGTACATTTTCATTTCACTGTGTTCATCGAGCTCCTTTTTTAGCTGACTCCACAATTACCTGTAGCCTTTCATCTCCTCTTCACACGATCTCCTTCATGTTATTCTCGGATGTTTTTGGGGGTATACAAAACCTTTAATAAAAATGAAATTGGAGACTTGTTTAATCAGGTATGATTATGAAAATATGCCATTTACCAGCATTTGTTAAAAGCACATTCGAGTCATTCACAAATAGACGTCCTAAAGTCATCACTGATGACTTTACTTTACAAGACATTATTTTACAAGAAGTTTACTTAAATACATATATTAAGCTACACTGTGAAGTTTTTACCAATACTAACTTCATCTCAAATAAATATTTGCTTTGAAAACATGAATGTATTCACACATAATAGTAGGTTTATTAGTCAGCCTTGACAGACCGAATTACTAACTTTGTTAAGTATTAACCAGCTACACATAGTTTGAGTAATAATGTCGTTGGTTATTATTGTAAGTTTGCATAAATTTCTTTTCTTGTTGTTGCGCATTGGACAAGAACACTTCTCACCTCAGTCTGATTTGAGTCCCAGGGCATTGGACTTTACAATTCAGCGGACTCAAAAGTGGGAGTTAACAAGAGAACATAAATGTAGACATCAGAGCTATATATCTTCCAGACATTCTATGGAATTATTTACCAATGTCTAATTTTGCTTCAAATTAGATCATGAACTGACATTAGTTAGAAATACTAGTCGACAGCTGTTCCACCGCTGATTTAATCCATGACGGCCATGTTACTAAGTGACCTGGTTAGCTAATGGCCTTGAGAATTCATCTCAGTAACTGAGAGTGGTCGATGGGCTTGCCTGGTAACCTGAATGTCGTGGATTGGACTTAACAGGGGCGTTATGGGTGCGTGATCCTGAAGAGTTCCGAACTAGAACGAAACAGCTGTTCAGTAATTGCTGGTTTTCAGTGGTTCTCTAACTGACATTAGCTTGTTATTTAACTGGAAATCAATCGTGTTCTTGCATACCAACACTCAGAAGTTTATTTTTATGGCTTTTAAATGTAAATGAATCATTTAAATTTGTTTTTTCCAAAATTTCTGAAGAATCTTCCATTTCATAGTTCAGTAAGTTTCATATCTTCCTTTAAGATACAATTATGGGTCGAAACTGTGTGTTTTTCAAATGGCTAGACTGTGTTTTCTCTCTCTCTCTCTCGCTCTCTTTATGGGATTTCAGTCCCTGTAAGTTAAAATCTATTGTAGGGTACTGGTTAGCTTCACTAAAGTAGCCTTCCTAAATGTAGCATCCCCTGCTTACCCAATCAATTAAATATTTCATCTAACTTGTAATCACTGACATCAAGACGCTAAAACAATAAGACTCAGTTATTTAATAATGTGCTTCGATGAGCAATGTATGTAAATTGAAGGGAAGGTTAGATTTGCTTAGGGGAAAGATTTTGGAGCTTATCTGGCTAGTACGGCTGAACTACGGAGGTTATATAACTAGATTACTTTATCTGAGCGCATCACCATAGGATATAAACTTATCAAAACACACTGTCTTACTGAGTTAAAGTGCGTCGGTGGCACAGTGGTTAGGACGCTCGCCGACGGTGCACATGGTCCGGGGTTAGATTCCCAGCCACTGACGTATTACTTTACCTCGCTAATCCCGTAGTAAGATTGGTAAAGACGGAAGATTGGGCATGAGGCTGGCAATCAACCCCACCTCGTAAAGATAAACACCACTGCTACCGAAACGTCAAGCCTCCCTAGCTTGAAGCCCTATGTTCCACAAGGAACGTGAAGGAAATACTAATACTACTAATAATAATAATAGTGGGTTAAAATTTTCACATACACTGTGAATTAGCGGAGACGATTTGTTGCTCATACTGATATGTTTGGTGTTCTTTCGGATGGTTGGTTTACTATCAATCAAGAAATCAGCTTCAGCAGTCACTTCAAGAAGAAATGACCGCTTAGAGCCCTCCGTGAATGAAATAATTCGTTTTCCAGATAACAATAAATGTGATTGGTTGTATCCGGAGTTTATATTATCCCTATATTCGCAGAATTCCGACCAGAACAAGCTGGATTCAGGAAAGACAAATCATGTACTGACCAAATTGCAACTCTACTCATCATCATCACAGAACAAAGCATGGGATGGCAGTAAAACCTCTACCTCAACTTTATAGACTTTGAGAAGGCCTTCGACGGCGTTGACTGAGAAGTAATTTGGAAGCTACTCGAGTACTACGGCGTACCCCAAATATTCATCCACCTTATTCCACAGTTGTACGAAACGGAACATGTCAAGTGATCCACAACGGAAAACTCAACGAGGCGTTTGGAGTAAAAACAGGATTCAGACACGGGTACTTATTATCTCACCAATGATATTCCTAATTGTGGTGGACTGACTGGATTATGCGTAAGACAGTGAGTGGGAAACGAGAAGACAGGGATATCCTGGGCCGACGTTAAGAGCCTAGAAGTCCTGGATTTCGCGCGTGGATGATTTATGTTCGATGTCACACAGAATCAAAGACTTACAAGTGAGCGAAAACCGACCGACAAACTGGTCGAAGAAGCAGCCAGCGCAGACAGTACTCCAGGTGAACATAGACAAGACGGAGGTTATGAAAATAACCAACCAACAACAGCAACAACATCCAACGTCAATCACCATCAACGAGAGGGATTTGAAAGAGGTTACTTCATTCATTTCATTATCTGAGGAGCATTGTCTCAACTACAGGCAGTCGGAACGGACGAGGATGTCAAATCGAGCGAGAATCGGGAAGGCGAGAAACACATTCATCAACCTGAAATCAATCTGGAAATCTTCGTCACTCAGCCAGCATCAACAACAAAATTCGGTCGGATTTTCAAAACTAACGTCAAGTCAGTCAGTTCTTCTATACGGATCTGAAACTCGGCTGGCGGGTCACAAAGAATATCTCCAACAGCCTGTCACAGACCTTCGTCAACAACTGTCAACTTTCGCTCTATACTGAAGATCAGATGACCGGGTCGGAATCATCAGAATCACTAACAAGAAACTATGGGAAGGAACAAACAAAACAAGAACCAGTCTCCAATCAACAAATATGCAGGAGAAAGTGGAGATGGATTGGACACTCGGTGAGGAGGCCACCGCTGGGTGACATCGCGCGTCAGGCCTTTGAGTGGAACCAGACCGAAAGGGAAGCGGCGAGTGGGACGTCAGTGCGAGGGTGACATGGGGGAGATTGTGTGGAGAGGAGTTGAAAGAGCATGAACTAACATGGATGCAGGTGAAAAGTACAGCAGAGGCAAGACAAAAGTAAGTGGAGACGTGCAGTTGAAGCCACTAGGAATCCAAGGGAACAATAATAATAATATTCGCATTTGCTGACATTTAATGTCTTGTTGACTGTATATTTTACATTCCACAAAATAAGATATCTACTTAATTTGATTGTGATAATTACAGAAAAATACTATGGATATTTGAGTAAGTTTCAAGCATTTCTTGCTTCATTCATTCAGCTATTCTTATCGCGCGAAAGTATCAAGCTTAAAATCAAAGTTCAATGGTTTACCAACAGAGTATTTCTAAAACTAAACACGTTATATCTCACTGAATTCTACTGACATTTACGGACTATTGTTCTGCTGAATGCGTGAACTGTTAAACTCTCTCTCCCTCTCTAAAGAACCACGCAATAGAATTTAGCAGTGTTGTTAAATTATTCATTTTCTAACCTCTTGTAGTATCTAACATACAAGCATTTATATTTTTAAAACGCAGTGAAGTTTTTATATATCATTGATATAAGTATAAAACTTGAGCACTGTGGTGGTAGAGTATAACTCCATTATGGGTAAGATTTTATTTTCATAAAGTCACACACAGTATTGTTGTACAGTAATATTTACTGAAGAGTACGTTTTGAGAACAATTTATCACTACTGCTCATGATCATATCAAGCCGATACTCACACAACTCTTTTCCTTCATTTATATACATGTGTGGAATCGATTAGATATTTGAATAAAAATCAATATAGGATACTGTACATTCAGAAATAATAATACAAGTGTTACAGATAAATTACAATTAGATGAGAAATAAGACGAGTGTTGGTGTTAAATAGCTAACTATCCTATGAAATTCATTAGGAAGATCGAGAAAGACAGAAAAACAGAATCAAAATAATGGTGAACCTAGTAATGATAACATAAATAAGACTGAATATAAGTCATCGACTGTTATACCATATATTATGAGAGGACATGTGAGACTCTACGTAGGATTCTCAATAAAGCAGGAATTAAGGTGGCATTCAGACCTACAAACTCACTCAGGTAGGACAAGCTCTATAGGCTAAAGGAACCTGTCAGTGGACCCAGTTAAACGAAATAATGATATAATTTACAAAATACCTTGAAATAACTGTGAGTTAGGTCAACTACATAGGTCAAATTAGTAGGTCTGAGGTAGTCAGATTATCAGAACATAAGAATTTACCTAATGTTAGAATGATTCATCCCACGAAGACAAGTAATTTAGAAAAAAGCTCAGCACTACATTGCACTGCATGCATTAACACACAACCAAACACAATAGGGTGGGTGGGAGAGGGTTAAGATTCTAAGAAGTAATCTATGTAGGTGGAGAGCGAGAGAGATTGATTATTGAAACCTGGTTCATTGAGTCTACACCCAACACATGCAACAGAAATGACTCAATGCAAATACCAGAAATATGGAAGATATTATTACCACCAGTCAGTCAAATCAGAGTAGGATAATAAATAATCTTAAAATTATATTTCGATTAAAGCACATCACAACATTCTAACAAGTTACTTATTATTCTGACCATAAAAACACTCGTCTTATTTCCCATCTGATTGTAATTGATCAATAACACTCATATTTTTATTTCTAAATGTACATTATCTCATACTGACATAAGTATAAAACTTGGGCACTGTGGTGGTAGACTATAACTCCATTATGGATAAGATTTTTGATAAATCACAGAGTCGTATTACACAGTAATATCAACTGATGACGTTTCGAGCACAAACTGTTGCCACTCATAATCATATCAAGTCACTGACTCACACAACTTTTTCTTACATTTATATACATATGTAGAATTGACTAGATATCTTATTCATAATGGAATTATCCCATATTGATTTTTATGAAAATGTCTAATCATCAGTTTCACTTATGTATGTATATGAATGAAGTAAAAAGTTGTGTGAGGTGTGCCTTTATATGATTATGAGCAGTAGCAATAAAGTGTGCTCGAAATGTGGTCATCAGTTAATATTACTATACAACAACACTGTTTGTGTGACTTTATCAAAATAAAATCTTATCCATAATGAAGTCTTTACATATATTTGACAAAAAATGTTACTTGTGTCTTGAATAAACAGGCGATTTTCGATGAGACCAAACAAAATTAAACTTAGACTGATTGATCGATTGATTAACATTTATTTCATGTATTAATGATTGACAGTAGAATTAGGATTCAAATGATTTTAATCTGAAAGGTCCAGAATACATGGGGAAATTCTCCGCCTCCTGAGCTGTAACGCCACTCACTTTCAGTCATGATCTCATGACTGAAGGTAGAATAAGATAAATTATTTAGATTACGGGTTATTCTAAAAATTTGGATTAATTTCAATATGGATATTGTCACAAGCCAGCATCAGTTTAAGGATCATTGAAAACGACTGTTTTGCCTTATCTTGGGACTCTTCAGAAGCACGCACCCATTATCCAATCAAGGTTCCTACCAACGACCTTGAGGTTATGAGAACAAGGTCTTTGACCATTCAACCATTCACTTTGGTCAGAATACAACGACCCGTATTCAGTTGTCTCTGAATGGTTCGTGACACAATTTAACACTTATATAAAATAAACAATCGGAACTAAGTGTGTAGCAGGTACAGCTTCAAGTCACTAAACCAAATTCCTCTGCTTTCAACTTTCTTCCTCATATTCTGCATTAGTGTACTTTTCGCCTGTTTATGCTAATCTGAATATGTTGAGATAGTTAATTATGATCTTTTCTCGATGAATACGGTTTTTAGCGTACAATATTTTTATCAAAGCTTCAAACTACTGATATTGAAATAAGTAGGTGGTGACCACGAACGAAAGTCAGTAGTGATTGTTAGCAAGAAAGGAGACATTATTATCATCTGTCATCCGAGACCAAGCGGATCACCTACATACTCGGTATAACCTAGATCAGAGGCTGAAATCATTTCAAACCATCTTGTTCTTTGGTAGTTATTTGGCTGAACTATTAATGCATGCAAACGAATTCGCCAATTACAGCAGTTAGAGATCAGAATTTTCCACAGTTTTTGTTTGCTTGTTTTCCGTATTGGTCATTAATTTTGTTTTTTCTCGTTTTAGCAATCTTATGTTGAAAAATTATAGAAAAGAGCTTGTACACTAGACACCTTAAGCTGTATTGTTTCCACTCTATCCTGTCGATTAACACTTACGATCTTATAAATATCATCAGTTTGCATTCAACTATTACAATATAAATTTTAATAAACCCCCTGTCTCCTTCCCTTCACAATGCGTTTTTATATATGTAATGGGAATTTTTAATCAGTTATATATGTAATACTCCAAAAAAAGACAAAGTTAAACACTAGCGTCCCAAGGGATGCTAACGCTCCGATGACTTTGAACGCACGCTAGTCATCGGCTAATGATACTTGACATTACAACGGCACAGATATGAAGGCTTTTCACCTACTAAAGAGCGAATTTCACCTAGACCACGTTTATAAGTACTTACTGAACAATGTGTTAATAGCTCTCCAGGTTAAAGATCTTGGTTAAGGTAGGTAGTAGGGTGAGGGTTAGGATAAGGGTTGTAGTTAGGGTTGGCAGCAAGGTTAGGGTTAGTGTTGAGTTAAGGGTTAGGGTCAGGATTAAGGTTAGGGTCACGATTAGGGGTAGATGCAGATTTGCTATTATTTATTTTGATTTGTTTTATCGTCTACATTTTGCCAGTTAGTAGTCGTTGATCCTCTCACTGGAAACGGAAATAATTCAACCGATGACTTTAAAGGGAAGACTTCAAAAGAGAATAAGAGTGATAAACAGGTCACAAAAAGAGCTCACCTGAAATCATTTCAGTGTATACACGTGCAGAAAGTGGTCACACTTAAGGGCTGATACTCTTCGTTAGAACTGCGACGTATTTTTAAGTTATGTCAGGGAAAGATACCTTGTTTAGTGCGTTTCCATGCATATTCTTGTAAATCAACGTCATTTTTGTGCAAATGTAACTGATTTATACGATTGGTCAACTCAAGGTCACCCGTGCGTTCACATCCCTTGGAGCGCTATTATTTAACTTTACCAAAAAGAAACTATTTACATTATTAAATGCAATAATGGTTCTCTCAACAACTGGGAGAAGCAGTGGTGTTTGCTCCTTCAGTCGACTTTTCCAAGTGAGGTTTAGAAGCTGTGTAATCCTAGACGCCAATTAATAATCTGAAACAGAGAACAAAACGCACGTTAGCAGGGTTATCGCACAAGTGCCACGAATGCTCAAGGTCAAGGATTGTATGTACTTCCAATCATAACATAACTAAGTGAGAGGGAGAGGCTATTCCTATTTGCCATCTGCTACATCGTCTTGGGCAACCAATCCCTGCACGCTACTTAGCCAGCCTGAAATCAGGCAATCATGGTTTAAATATTGCAAACAAATTTGCCACGCTTTCCTCTCAGTATACTTTAGTAGGTAGGAAACTTCGAATTTCCTCAGGTGGTTTATTTCACGGAATTTTGCATAGTGTGTTTGCAGGAAATCTGTAATCATATCAGATGTTGCACTTAACTGTTTTATGGATATCATGTCAACTAGTTCATACAGCTAGAATATCATATATTCATATGAGATGGGAACAGAGTGACGGAAATCTCCTTAGAACATCACTTACAACCATACACTTACTTTGCAGACGATCAGTTTGATTATACATTTCACTTTTGTAGAACTCCATTCTTTATCAGGTTTACTTAGTGACCAGATCTATGGCTTTTGATGTGAGTGATTTGAATCCATTTTTCTTAACAGATAAATGAATACTTCGCCAACCAAACTTGATATCCAATATCCTGATTACGAGCTAGTATAAACCAGTGATTTCTTTGAGCTCGCTTCTTGATTGTGAGGTAGAGGTTCCAGATCTTCGGTGAGCTTCTACGTAGTAAGTCCCGCCACTTGACTGCTTTAGCTCTGGTAGACTCCAGGAGGAGTGGTGCGGGGATTGGTCGAGATGTGGTTTGTAGTATGCAGTATGTTAGGACTGTATTGCTGCCGTGAATGGAGTTTAACCTAACTCCCGTTGGTTATTCGGTGTAGTCATAAAAGCAGAATAATAATAGGTTGTAGTGTAGATAATATAGGTTGAGATAAGTGGAATAATGAAGGTGACCTAAGGAAAAGATAGAGTGAGAGAAGGCAGAATAGGTCGTGGGGATTTAGTTTGTACGCTTATCCATTGACAGTGTGGTTTCAAGTTTTATGGGATAATCCATTGAGACACAAACCTTGCATTTCTGCATAATTGTCTAGCTTCCGCTTAAAAATCTCCAGAGATGGCGCTGTAGTCACGGCCGCCGGTAAAGCGTTCCAGAGACGGCAAACACGAAGCGAAAAGAAATGTGATCGCACTCGAGTCTTTGGTCTCTGGTGTGCTATCCTTAGCGGGTTACCTCGTGGAAGCCTATAGTCACTCAATGGCAGGATGCTTTCGCAAAGTCGAGAAAGATCACGTGGGCTGGTACCTTTTTGTCCCATAGACGTTGTTGCATAGAAATTATATAAAGGGAATTCACCCGTTGATAAACATCTACCATACCCACTAAACGAACCGCTGTTCAGAACAGTGTGACGGAAATGTAAACTTCATAGATAGTATCTGATCAACAATCAACAGACAAGTACCTCTAATTGCACTAGTTGGAGATAAGTACACCTGTCAGCCGCGTCTCGTAAACCGTTAATGCCCAGCTCTTGCTACGCTCGGGCTCACGCTGTCGCTTGAAGTTTCTCAGAAACGCTTAGTAATAACGGACGAAAAAACCAAAACACCAATTGTTGACTCGAGGATTCTTTATTGTTACACCAACATATAAATGACGTATAACTAAGGTCTGTGAACAAATATTACAATAATAAATCACAATATTACTTCTGATGGTTTACTGCTGACTTCTTTCTGAACAGCGACCGATGAGACGATGACTGTCGTATTGATGCCTCCGCGAAAACTGGGGAAGTTGGTTTTGAGCAAACAACCATGAATTGATCGTTCAATCTTCAACTACATTGACAATACCTATCCGATATTTTGTCCAAATTGATACAAGTTTCGATACCGAATAAAACCAAATGAATTCAGTTATATAGGCTGAGTGACAGTTTTCACTAAGGCTAAGAGGCCAGCCATCTCCAGAAACGCAGTTCATTTCGATTCCCCTTAACATAAATACTAACTTAATATACTTAATAGTTTGTGAGATAAGCCATCAAAGTTTCAAAAAGTTCTAAGTTATTACGATTCTTAATAGTTGCCCTTCAAGAAATTTCATCAGTTCACACAGTTCTTCTATGGATAACAGTTCGTTCAAAACAGATCTGCCTTAGGTATATTTCAAGCATCAGGTCGTATCGCACCTGCTAACCTGCAGTAGTATGGCTGCCAGTCGTGTTGTTGTGAAAGGAAGGCTGTATTGCGGTTTTGTTGCACCGAAATGCCTCTTAAGCAAAAATAAGTGGATTAAATTTAAATAGCTAAATACACTGCTACTCAGCCTCTGAATGTTTAGGATGTAGTAAGTATTGTTTTTACGACCTTGCGGCCAAACTAACTGTGACGCCCTCCCTAACCCCCTTTCTTCTGTGCTGATTACCACATGCAGTCCTACAATTACTGGCCAAGTCATTACTGGTAATTTAATTTGACCGACTGTTTACCTAAAATCGACAGAACTTTTATTCCGTTCAAATATACTTCTCCTGTAGCCATACTCTTGAGAACAGAGTTCCAAGTTTGGATGTGTGCAGTTGGAAGGACATTCGACGTTCAGAGGATATTTTTCAGCACCTTATTTATAAGTTCACTACTCGGTAGTCAGGCTGGAGGTACCCAAGTTACTTATATGGAGATTCGTCGGTTTGGGTGTAACGCTGGAAAATCTACAACGTGTTTTATTCACCTCTGGCTTGCGTCCGAGAGTGCAGCTTGTAGCTTTTCAGTTTATTAAATGGATTTTTTCTGGTGCTGTCAGTGGATGCATTCCGAAAAACTGGCCTCAGCAAATAAGAAAAGATACAGAAACAGGAAATGAGTGCGATAATTTCACTAATATATGAACAAACGTCGTGGAAAAGATACGATTAGAAAAAAGTCATCGAAAGGCAGTGACAAATCTGAGTCATTACGTATATTAATAAATATTTAGCCAATGTGAGGTGAGGACAGGCCATTGGCATAAAACTGCCCACAATGGAGATACAGAGGCTTTAAACGGCCTATCTACATTTTAATTTATTTTTATTTTGGTTGTAGCTTGAAACCACACAGTACTTTTGGTACAAGTATGAAATTTTCAGCATGTGATATTCGTAGCCCAATTTTGCAGGCCGACCATGGATATCAGGTGTGCGTCGGCAGAGGATCGAACCCCGGACCATGTGCATGGTTAGCGAGAGTCCTAACCGCTGTGCTCCCGACGCGCAGAATCAGAAAAAATTAGAAAGTTTCTAGAGAAATAGGGTAGCAAGAGAAAATAATTGCTAATTCTATCCCTGGTCCAACCCATGATTTTGATGTTTCCATCCAACATGACGTAAAAACCCAACTATACCACCTAAATTATCAAAGGAAGGCTCAGAAGGCTCTGGCAAATTACGCACCACTACATCGTCGATATTTATTTAGTAATTACCTGCAAGTGCAACATACTAACAACCCTTCACTCAGTAAATAATAGAACGAGGCTGGTTTCAGTGGACTAACCAGTACATTGCCCTATCAAGCCGGATAGTGTCCACCGCGACTACTATATAACAGAAGTGTGTTTATGATCATTAACACTGTGTCACTGTGTGTCAGATCTAACAAACTTATTTAATATTCAAATAGGGCGTTCATATTCACATCGATCCCTGGCATGGGAGTAATCCTCGTGGTTCTAAACATAGGATTCAAGGGTAAACCTCACTATCTCGTCATTCAACATTGTTGAGAAAAACACGCATGGTGGAGTTTTTGGCGAGGGGCTTGGTGAATGCCACAACAACGACTGCTTTCCATGATGCAACTAAGAATTTTTTTTGATTTACAGCTTGATGACAAACCAGAAGCTGATTTAAACCATTCCGGCTAAATCATTTGAGGAAGGACGCAAAGAATGTTC